GGTCCAGGCTCGCGTGTGCCCACAGGCTGCCCAGCACAGATAGGTGGGTGTTGGAGGGTCTCCAGCACATCTCCTCACCCGTGAGATGCTCTCTGCGCTGGTCCATGCGGTCCAGGCTCTCCAGCAGACTGTCCACTTGCGCCTTGATCTGGCTCAGCTCCCCCTTGATGGAGTGCAGCTCTTCGGCCCGCACTGCGGGGAGAGGAGCCGTTAGGATCCCACCTGGATCTCCAGCCTGTCTGGACCCGGGGAGACACCATCCCGGGCAGCCACCTCCGGAGCATCATCCTCTCTGGAGCATTATCCTCTCCGGAGCATCCTCATGCCAGAGCATCCTCATGCCAGAGCGTCCTCCCCATGGGCATCCTCAGGGAATGGGGACAGGTCCCCACCAGCCCAGTGCAGTCCAGGCTGTGTCTGCTGGAGTTGGGGACTCGTAGCAACTGGTTCAGCACCGAGCGGGACCTTCAGGCACCAGCACGGCTCTAACGCAGCGAGACACAAGGGCTGAGCCTCCTCTTCCTCCCAGCCCCATCGCACTTACGCTTTGTCCGTCCTGCTGTGGAGCTGGCGCTGCTCCTCGCCCCAGGCTGGGGGCTTGGGCTGCTTTTGCCTCCTGCTCCCACGTGAGTTCGTCTGGTCTTGAGCGGGATGCGGTTAATGAGGGGGGGGATCTTCTGGTACTCGTACACCCTGCAAGGGCACAAGAGCACGGCAGTGTCATCACAACCTCGGAGGTGCAGCAGCAGCAGCCCCTGCCAGCCAGGAGAGCATCTCTTGGGGTTTCTCTGTGGTAAAGGACCCCCAAAACAGGCACTTCCCAGCCCACACTCTGCTCCTGCCCTGGGATACCCCACCCCTGAGGTCCCCAGCCCGGTGAAGCTGAGGCACTTGTGTTCCTGGAAGGGGACAATGCCACCAAGTCTCTCCCGGAGGTGGGGAGAAGGATGCCCAGGGACACCCGGCTTTCCACCTTCGGCAGAGGCGTGCTCAGCCCACCCTGCTCCCGGGATGCCGTGCTCACCGGTACGGGAAGTCGTCCCTGTAGAGATCATAGTCCAGGTCGCAGTTACTGCTGCAGGAGGGGGAAAGAGGAGAACAAGTCACCCACTCTGTGGGGCCACCAGCGCCGTGGAGCAGCCATCTCTGGGCACAGCAGGGCAGGGACACCCCCCCA